CCAAAATATATAAAGAACTCAAGAAACTAGACCGTAAAAGGCTAATCAACCCAGCACAATAATTAGCGGCTAAATAAGAACCTTACGTAGGTATCACTAATAACAGCAACGAAAATGGGAACCAGCAACGTCAGCTTTTGGCACAGTTAAGATGCATTTCGTCGTCTGGTGTCGAGGGGGAGAGAATGGCTTGTTAGGTCAGTTAATCTAATAAGCAGAGGACAGGAATGTTCTCATGAAATTATGCATCCACCTTCTGCTCCCATTTGCTGATGGAGAGCCATCTAATTTGATTTTCTCTTAGGGTAAAAGTACAAGATCGTTGCTGTCATATTTCTAATACAACCATTGTCCATCTGCCCCTCTTCATTTTCTCCAGGGACTTTTGACTTCGGGCCACGTTTAAAGCAGATAGACATCTTAGAACATGCCGATCTAGCACCTGCTTGGTTTCATCAAATGTACTGAGGAGGGGAGGTGGGATGTGAGTTACCCAGGAGGGAGGGAGAGATCTTGTCCTAGCATGAAGGGATGGAGCTGCTGTGCTGTCCTCAGGTTGACTCTTGCATCTGTGTATTTATTCATCCCTTGTTCCACTCAGTGCACATTTCTCCACTGTTTATGTAGTACCTGTCACATGGGCTTAGCAGATAGCACCAGGCCAGCCTGGAAGGATGGTGGCACCACAAGGCACAAGAGCACTAACCATGGGGCTCAGCAGTTAGGAGCATTTGTTGTTCTTCAGAAGGCCAGGGTTCTGTTCCCAGCACCCACGTTACCTTACAACCTTTCACGGCTCCGCTTCCAGGGAATCTGATGGCATCCTTTGACATCTGCAGGCACACATGTGGTGCACAGGCATACACGTCATGATGTTTTGTTGCTGCTTTAACAAATAAAGTTTGCCTGAAGACCAGAGTGCAGAACTAGCCACACTAGCAAGCCACAGAGGCCAGGCAGTGGTAGCACACACCTTTAATCCCAGCATTCAGGAGATAGAGGCAGGCGAATCTCTGTAAATTCAAGGCCACCCTGGGCTACACAAGATTGAATTGGTCTAAAATAGAAACAGAGCTTACGCATTTGGGATCTTATGCCTTTAATCCTAGCACTAGGGAGGTGAAGACAGTAAGAGATTTGGCTGGGCGGAGAGAGGAACTCAGAGCTGAGGATTCCTCAGGACAGAATTGCCCCTATGATCTGAGGATTCTGTAGAGTTAAAAAGTAGTGACTGACTGATCTGTCTCCGATCTTTCAGCATTAACCCCTATATCTGACTCTGAGTTTTTAATATTAAGATAAATTAGAATTCACGCTTTATCTGGCGCTCAACTTTTGGGGTACAAATTCACAAAAAAAGCCGCTTGCCTGTGGCTTTGCAGCCATCCTATTTCTATATCCCTCCTTTTTCTGTTGAGTAGATTTAATAATCTACCATTATAGTCTATCATTCAGAGAGAGAGAGAGAGAGAGAGAGAGAGAGAGAGAGATACATGCAAGAAAAGCACTTGTACACATAAAATAAAAATACCTTTTTTAAAGTACAAGCTTGGATGTGACTTTGCATGGGCTACCAGAACTCCCCTGTATCTCTAGCTTCAGAGTTGTTTTGTTTGTTTGTTTGTGTTTGTTTTTAAATTGAGATTAAATACAGTGTCTAGAGTTAGAGCTGAGTTTGGTGACACAGTGTCTGTTCTCTTAGAGCCTGTGCCAGGATCTGGGGTTCAAAGCCAGGCTGGACCGCTCTCAAGAGACAGAACACAAAGAAATGAACAATAGCAGACACGCCTACAGCTAGCTGCTAGCTGCTAGAAAGGTTTACATGAGATGCCACAGGCAAAGCAGATGCCCGGCTCAAAGAAGGTGCTCAACGAATAGATACCACTACAGAAAACAACAACCAATCAAAATGCAGAGTTGTGGAGTCCAGTCCAGTGGATACATCTACAAAACACTCCTAGACCTAAGGCTTAGGCAACTTTGTGGGAGAGGGGATGGAAGGACTGCAAGATCCAGAAAGGACCAGGGAGTTTGCTGTGAGATTGTGTCTCCTGGTAATGTCAGATGCTACACCCATGAAGTCTCAGCAACATGAATGCCCGACATGAACGGAATGAGGACGGCACCAATGAATACACCAAAGTAGAGGGGGGAGAGAAAAAAGAAACATGGCCTCAACCCTGTGCAAGGAACTGTAGGTGACTGAGGAAAGCTGGGAGCAGGAGAGGTGGTCCTCCCCACGGAAGAGCACACCAAATGGTTGTCCAGGGCCAAACAACCAGCCCTGAATATATACATGCAAGGAACATTATATGGAATTAACATGTTATATTTAGGAATATATATGTATATGTATATACATACATACATACATATACTTACACACATATATGGATGCAATAACTATTAGTGAAAAACAGAGACCATAAATTTGACGGAGAGGGGGGCGGGTATATAGGACGGTTGGGGGGAAGGAAAAGGAAATGTTATAATTAAGTTATAATCTCAAAATATTTTTAAAAAGGAAGTACTTGGCAAATTCTTGACTAGCTCAGGAAGGAGAAGGCCGTGTGCTATGTGGGCGGGCTGCACCATCAGGAACACAACGGTGAATGAACGTCCCCTATGGCTTACATTCTTGAGAGCAAAGAAAGGCAAAGTGTAAACAGATAAAATAAACCGAAGAGAAATGCTATACAGGAAACCAAAGGGCTCCCACAGTGGGTGACGGTGAAGGGGCTGCTTCAGATCCCACATCAGAGGAGAGGCCCCTGGGAAGGCAGCATTTACACTAAGAAAGACGAAAAGAAGTCAGCGGCACGTCAAACCAGGCAAAGGACGTTCCAGGCACAGGCTATGGCAAATGCAAAAGCCCTTGGTGGAATGTTCTAGAGCAATCCAGGGACAAGTGTTGGGCAGAGGAAGTGTGAACCAGAGGAGATAATACTCCATGTAGAAAGCAGGGTGGAGTCAGGAGGGGGCCACCCACCCAGGGCCTGCTTAGAGACCCTCGACAGGAAGAAGCAGGCAGTGACATTTCTGAACACTCTGGAGCTCCAGGTGTGGATGTGGCTCTATTCTCTAGGACCTGAAAGACATTTCAAAGACAGTTAAAACTTCCAGCTGAAAAGAGAAAAGAACTTTGGGAGTGGGCTTATGAGACCCCCACTGTCACCAGGGAAGTCCTCTGAAATGTGTTTTTTAATACTCTGGAAGTGAACAAAACTCGGAGCTCAGGAAAGTCCATGTATGGTTGTCAACTGTCTGTGACTTATATTTTGGTGTGCCCATCTAAACCACATCACAGCTCAGACCCACTGCAATGGCCTAGCTGACTTAAAACAGGCATGCATGTTTCCTGAATGTATTGAAATACATGTAAAATGGGGATATTGCCCTCCATTCTGAGATTGACTGGAAGAGCCTTAAGACAATGAGTTTGGAAAGCGAGTCCTCTCGTCTATGACATACCCAGCATTCTGCCTCCCTAAATCGGGGTACTTATCCAGATGCTGGCTGCAAACTCAGCTGGAACCGGCTCAAACTGAAGAGGGACTTACTGGAGAGCAGAGATGCTACAGCACCCACGCCGCTGAACATCTCCCCTCTTCCCCCCATCACTGCGGGATGACAGTGTCCCCTCCAAGTGGACACCAGGCTGGAGGCAACTCTGCAGCCACACCCCGAGTCTTAAGAATGTAAGGAAAAGCTTCATCTCCAAAAGTTCCACCACCCAACTGCCTATAAAGGAGATCTGTGATTGGCTGGGCTTGGGTCACGTGTTCGCCTCTTGCCCCCACCCACCCACTACCAATCCCCTCCACTGCACCTGCTGCGACTCAGAATTTGAAGCCACTCTGGGCTCTGTTGCCCCAACAGATGAAATCAGATTCTGTTTAGGGCCCTTTCTTACCCTGTACAAACTAGCTTCCCTTCCAGATCTTCAGGTAGCCTGCCGTGGCCACCCCCAGCCTAGGAGTGCCTCCGCCCCTACCCACTCTGATGTGCTTCGGCCTTCTTCTCTCTCTGTTATGACACATTGGTGTCCAGTTCCCTCCACAGAGCCTTCTTGATGCTCTGCCTACTGCGCACTGGTTCACCGGGATACAGCTCTCCTACTCTGAGACAGTCCTCGCTATCACCCACCCAGGCTGAAGCATCCTCAAGAGCCGAGACTGGTCAAATTGCCTCTGTGACCCAGCAGCTAAAAACAGCACATAGTCGGTATACAGAAAACTTTTCCTGCATTGTGTTGAGCAGGGTGAAACAGGGCACACCATCTCAGGCTGCAAAATCATTTAAAGCCAGATAGCCTGTGTTCTGGCCTCAGTGAAGACCTGGCAACTGTCGTGATTTTAGTTGGGACACAAGGAAGGGGCTTTCCTGAATTTGGCTTATCTTGGAAATTCGGGATTTCAGTATGTCAATTTTTTTTTTTTAGTTCTCACCTACACCACTTTTAACATTTAATCGTTTCTTTAACCTCTCCCGTGACATTTCTATATTGATAGTTAGCTTCTCTCACCTGTGAGGAAAACTATGGCTCCAAAACAGTTTTCCCAGAAGTGGTTTTGCTACTGATTCCAGTTTTTGGAGCAACGTGACATCTGGGGGTGGGTTTTCTCACCTTGAAAATATGTCTGCACAACCGTTTTAAAGTGTGGTATGTGGGGAGAGGGGGTAATGGTGTGGAGAAGGTATGATATGTGTGATGCATGGGGTGTGTGTCCGGGGGGAAGGGTGTCCATCCAGGTACGTGGTGACTGCTAAGCTGTGTACCTGAGAGGAATGGGATCAGAGGTGTGAAGGGGACCCTATGGGTCCCACATGGGCAACTCTTCAAACATGTGTTGCAGACTGTCCCCTACTTGGATCCCCTCCAGCGTCTCCCTGGAAACCTGAATAGGTGGAGCCCTTTGGGCCCCAGCCCTGAGATGCGCATAGAGGTGTAGCTCAAGCAGTACCACACTCATCTTTCCGTGTCCTTTCTGTTTCCACAGGGGACTCATTGCCAAGGGCTTCATGGAGACCCATTATCTGCAGGATGGCACTGACGTCTCCTCCACTCGAAACTACACCGTAAGTCCTAAAGTTTGGGCCAGCAGAGCTCTGGACATGGAGTCTGTGCTGACACTTTGTAGCTGAGCTAATCACATCCCCTAGGTTCTTAATTTAGGCCCCAAGAATCCATGGAGAAGCCAGGCCTACATCTCAAATCCCAGTTTGCTGAGGCAGGAGGACCACTGAGGTTAAAGTCTAGTATAGGCTATAGAGTGAATTCCAGGACAGCCTGGGCTACAAAAGGAGACCTCCCCCTCCAAAAACAACAACAACAACAAAACAAAAAACAAACAAAAACAAAAAAACGGGTTTTTAAGAAAGATTTTTTTGTCAGATGTGGTAGCAATGACTTTCAATTCCAACACTTTGGTAGGCAGATGCTCACAGGTCTCCATATTCAAGCCCAGCTTGGTTGACATACCCAGAGCTACACAGTGAGCCTCTGACTAAATGAGAAATTGGAAGAGAAGGGGGAGGAAAGGGGAGGAGGGAGAAGAGGGGAAGAGGAAGATGAAGAGGAGGAGGATGGTGAAGTTGTTTTTATATTAGAAAGCTTGGCCAGGGTTGGAGGTGGATTGGAAAGTCATCCTGCAAGGCTGAGCTTTGCTGCCGCACGAAGAGATGTAAAGGAGAAGTGTCTGTGCTGAGCCAACTTTGAAAAAGCGCATGTCCCTCTGTTGAGCCACCACACTCCTAGTCTGCTTTTCTACTATTTGAACTTTTAAAATATTTAGAGTATGTGTCTATGTGCCTTGTGTGTGTGCGCGCGTGCACGCATACACGCATGTAGTGGTCAAAAAACAATTTGTGGTAATCAGTTCTATTCTATCATTTGGATCCTGGAGAGTGAACTCGTCATCAAGGTGGCAGAACACACCTTTACCCACTGAGCCATCTCAGGAGACTGTTGTTTGAGCTTTTATAGATAGCTTTGACCCAAGCTCATGGTGTGTCCCTTTGACAGACTCTGTGTACCTGTGTGAATGTGAGTTTGTTTTTTTTAAGTGAGCCGGTAGAGTAGCCCTTTCCCTGGGAGCCCCTCGTTCTCTGCGATAGGCCTCCAGCGGTCTGCCCCTACCATCTTTGGGACTTGGTTCTTAGGAGTGGATGATTCACGATCTGGGAACATGGTTCTACCACAGCTCTCCAAACCCTGAGAAGACACATAGAAATCCAAAACAAAAGCTAATCACCTCCAAGGTTTTGTGAAAATTTCAAGCTTTATTCAGGAAAATCAGTCCAAGGGACGTTAGCTGGCTGTAGTGACTCACACTTGGGGCACAAGAAAATGACAGCAATTCGAAGGCCAGCCTGGGCTATGTGGTGAGTTCCAGACTAGCCTGGGCTATAGTGAGACACTCTCTGATAACAAAATGATATGTGGGGTGGGGATAGCTAGAGCTTTGGCTACTGAGTTTGGGTCATGTGACCCCCCAAAAGACTATGCAGGACCCAAAGTGGGGAGCAGGAGAGATAGGATGAATGAATATAAATGAGAATGGATATAAATGCCAGGTGCTAGAGGCAGAGAAGAGAGAGCCGGAGTCTGCGATTAGAATCTCACAAGAGTTGGCTTCCCTAGAAAGCTGCTTCTTGTGTGGAAGACAACAGAATTCTCCCAGCCCTAAGGAAACAGGAAAGAACTGTCTGCCATGTGTCATGAATTGAAAGATTTCACACACACACACACACACACACACACACACACACGACACACACAAAAGAGAAGAAAGATTGGAATCCACATAACCTTTTGCATGTGTTACGTGCTTTGGAGATGTATTGGCCCATCTCCAGACTCTGAATATCACTATAAGACTGGAGTTTCCATCAAAACCTTGACCTCAAAGCCATTCCCAAGTCAGGGAAGTCTGCTGGAGCCCAGGCTGCAGCCTATGCTGAAATGCCCCATAGGGGAGTTTCTACAGCCCAGATGTATGAGGTGACCATGCAAAGTGAAAAAAAGGAGAAAAAATATTAGTAAGTTGCTCCCCAAGGCAAAAAAAATCACAAGTCAGACAATGAGCAAAGGTACTGTGAAGGAGCACCCCCGGACAGAAGGAGAGAAAGAAATTAGCCCTTCCCAAAACAGGTGGAGGAAGAGCCAGAAGAGAAGGTTTTCAGAACAGAATAGAGCTAATGGGAATTCCAGTGAAATCTATTTTCCAGTATAGGGAAAGAAGTGTAACGGTGGTGCTCAGAGTGTAACGGTGGTGCTCAGAGTGTAACGGTGGTGCTCCAGGTTGAAGAAAGATACGGATCTTGATAAACTCCCACCAGTCCCAGGAGAAAGAGCAGAAATATTCCAGTTTGATTTACCGAGAACCTGCAGGACGTCAAAGACGATGTCTTTAAGCCGCCTGAGACAAAGAAATTTGTTTGTAGCAAATGAAGACAACTGAACCAACAATAGATTTCTCATCAGCAACAATGGAGTTAAAACTGCAGGGACTGGGGCAGTAGCTGCCACCCTCAGTCCGTGCTGCAATGACTTTACAGAACCAAGAAGGTAACAGCCAACGATGCGAGAACTTACTATTCCCACAGCATACCAAAGGCTTCCCAGGCAAGAGCGACCTGCACAGAAGAGCTGGGCGAGAAGTAAATTGAACACAAGAGTAAGATGTTAGAGGCAATAGCAAGCAAAACAATTGCACCAAGTAAATCTACTTAAAATAACAGTTTTCACAGGAGTGACTGTGTTTGGGTGTTCTCAAACAAGACGGAGGAAGACTTGAAACAGTTTAAGAGTTTGTCTTGCACTAAAAATAATAGGCATGCTGATTAACTTTGCTACATAAAGTATGAGGCACCTTTAAAGAACAGAGAAATAGAGCACATCCTTCCAAATAATGGGCTATGCGTGGAAATCTTGTTTCAACCCAGTTCAGGGCAGGATAAAGGGAAAGGATTGAAAAAGAAAGAGATAAATATAAAACAGAAGGGAACAAAAGATCAAAATAAGATAACACATGAATCTCACTGTATGAAAATAGGTTGAATAAACTTGTCAAGGCCCAGACCCCTATATATAAGTAAATAAAGCTCAATCAATATCAATAATTAAAGCTGTTGTTGTGCTGACATCAGACAAGCTAGTGAAGTAGAAAGTGAGGGAGGGAGAAAGGGAGAGAGAGAGAGAGAGAGAGAGAGAGAGAGAGAGGCATTAGCGACCAAGCAGTCATTATATAATGATAAAAGGAACACGTCAAACGGGCTATGAGAGGCTGTGGGATAGCTCGGTTGAGTAAAGGGTTCTGTAGCCAAGACTAATGACTTCACTTTGATCCATAGAAGTCACATGGTAGAAGGAGAGAAATGATTTTCTTGGGCTCTCCTCTGGCCTCTACATATATGTAGTATGCACACACACACATACACCACACATACACACCATACACACATCACATACACACACACCACACAAACATGCATACACATATCACACACATGCACACACACACACCACAGACACATACCACAACATGCATCACATACAATGTACACATGCATACACATACACCACACACACACCACTCATACCACATACACACACCATACATACCACATATACACATGACACACACATGTACACACAAAGACACAAGTATTAAAAAGCAAAAGGCTACTGAAAATGTTGTACAAATGCTATTATATCAGAGCATTCTCAACATATATTTTAAATATATATGCTATTCTGTCAGAACATTCTCAACATATATTTAAAAGTTTGAAAAAGACTATGACTTTTCCATCTAAAGATTTACCTACATTTAATGCTCTAGCCCAACTCCTAGTCACAGGGTTTCTTACAAATCTAAAAGTATCCATCCACAATCAGGGCTGAGAGGTCTAATGCTTCCTTTTAGATCTCAGTTTGATCATTTATAAGCAAGCCCTCTGCAAGCCAACATAACTCTAAACTTCACAATTTCTCCCCAAGAGGAAATTCTCCAGAAATGAAGTTGACACAACTTAATCCATCAAGCAAGACACTGAAAATCTCCTAGATCTGCTACAGCCCACGGGAGGGAATATGTGTATGCTGGAAATGAGGATTTGAAAAATGAGCAGAAACTTATGAAAAGGGACACAAAAAAAATTGAGAAAGGGGATCAGTTTACCCAAAATCTGTCCATTTGAAAAAAAATAAAGTAACATTAACAAAATGAGTGAGAGAAAACTTTGAAGATACACTTTTACACAGAGAATTTTTCAATCACAGTAAAGATATGAACAATATTGACCATTTATCTTAAAAATGCAAATTCTCGGGAGCTCAGTGGCTAAGAGTGGTTGTTGTGCTTGCAGAGGAATCAGGTTCTACTCCCATTACCCATACATGGCTAACAACCATCTGTAACTCCACTTCCAGGAAGCTCTGGTGCCCCCTTCTGGCTTCTGCGTGCATTGCATGCATGGTGTGCACAGACATACATACATACACACACACACACACACACACACACAAAACAATTCACATAAAAACATTAAAAGAATGAAAAATAATTTTTTAAATTTATTTATTTATTAAAGATTTCTGTCTCTTCCCCGCCACCGCCTCCCATTTCCCTCCCCCTCCCCCAATTAAGTCCCCCCCTCCTCCTCAGCCCGCAAAAGCAATCAGGGTTCCCTGTCCTGTGGGAAGTCCAAGGAACCCCCACCTCCATCCAGGTCTAGTAAGTTGAGCATCCAAACTGCCTAGGCTCCCACAAAGCCAGTACGTGCAGTAGGATCAAAAACCCATTGACATTGTTCTTGAGTTCTCAGTAGTCCTCATTGTCTGCTATGTTCAGCGAGTCTGGTTTTATCCCAGGCTTTTTCAGACCCAGGCCAGCTGGCCTTGGTGAGTTCCCAGTAGAACATCCCTATTGTCTCAGTGTGTGGGTGCACCCCTTGCGGTCCTGAGTTCCTTGCTCGTGCTCTCTCTCCTTCTGCTCCTGATTTGGACCTTGAGGTTTATGTCCGGTGCTTCAATGTGGGTCTCTGTCTCTGTCTCCTTTCATCGCCTGCTGAAG